AGGGGCCGTCTGCCCGGGCTCGGAGAGCGGCGCTGGAGACCAGAGTGGCATCGCGGACTGCTCGGGGGTGGGTGTCCGCGCCTGAATGTCGGCGCTCGGTACCATGGCAGAGGGTTCGGGGAGTCCCCTGCCCGAGCCCGTAGTCAGGAGGAAAAAAAGTATATCTATTGAGGAAAAAATTGACATCATAAGTGCTGTGGAGAGCGGCAAGAAGAAGGCGGACATCGCGGCCAAGTATGGCATAAAGAAGAATTCCTTGTCTTCGATTATGAAGAATAAAGAAAAAGTCTTGGAAGCCTTTGAATCTTTACGGTTTGATCCTAAAAGAAAAAGACTAAGGACCGCTTTTTATAGCGACCTGGAGGAGGCGTTGGTGAAGTGGTACAGAATCGCTCAGTGCCTCAGTGTGCCGGTGAACGGTCCTATGTTGCGCCACAAGGCGAATGATTTTGCCCAGAAGCTCGGACACAGTGATTTTAAATGCAGTAATGGCTGGCTCGATCGTTTCAAGTCAAGGTACGGCTTAGTGTTCAGAGCTCAGCCTGTAGATGCAGCTGCTACCGCTACAGGGGATGCTCCAGCTGTCTGGTACCAAAAAGTTCTTCCTTGTTATTTAAAAGATTATCCGCCAAGAAATGTGTTTTATATACAGGAGACTGGATTGCTCTATCAGATGTTACCACATAACACGTTTGCATTTAAAGGGGAGACTTGTTCTGTAGGTAAACTAAGCAAAGAGAGAATAACCGTAGTGGTGGGTACAAATATGGATGGCTCCGAGAAACTTCCTTTGCTTGTTATAGGAAATTCTTTCAAAGATTTGAAGTCTCTGCCTGTGGATTACGAAGCAAATGATGTGGCCCTGATGACTTCAGAAGTGTTTGAACAGTGGATGCTTAAACTTGATGACAGATTTCAAGGACAGCAGCGACAAGTAGTTATTCTTGTTGATTCTCTCCCAGCTCACGCAGAAGTAAAGAAGCTAAAGTCTGTCAAATTAGTCTTCGCTCCTCCAGACTCTTCACGTATCTCTACAAAACAAGGGGTTATCAGAAGTCTGAAAGTTAAATACAGACACTGTCTTATCAAGAGATTTGTCGATTGCGTAGAACATAATAAAGAGTTTATGCTCACTCTTCTTGATGCAATTGAGATGTTGTACCTGTGTTGGAGGGAAGTAACACCAGAGACTATCGTAAAAAATTGTAGTGAAGCAGGATTAAAATTAGAAACCAAGGCAAATGGTGACAACACAGAGGCTGAAGAGGATTTTGATTTGATTGCACATGCACAGGCAGCTGGAGTGGAGTTTCCAGAAGGTTTATCTTTGGAGGAATATGCAGCTTTAGACGATGGCTTGGTAACTTATGAAATGCCCACAAGTAATGAAAGGATGTGTGACAAAGAAAGTGCATCAGATAAAGCTGGGACATTTGTCAGTGATGAAGATGAGGATGAAGTTGATCAATTTCAAGGTGCAGAACAGCCTTTGCCATCAAAAAATGAAGCTTTGAGTGCATTAAATACCCTTCGAAAGTTTCTCAGAAATCAAGAAATGAATGATTCTCTTCACAGTTCCCTAGATGACCTGGAGAATTTTATTCAAAATCTAGCATATAAATAAATATTTTAGTGAAGCGTGAAAGCATTTAATTGAAAAAAAGAAATTATATAAGTACACAAAACTAGGCAGTTTAATAACAAGTGTTGCCGCAGTGTTCTCTAGTGTGTCTTGTTCAGGTTCCTAGATGTATGTAATGGAAGAAATCTGAAATTATGGAAAGGGCTGTGAACTTAGTTCTCCACTAAATCAGAAGGAAAGAGCACAAAATTTGGGATGGAGAGAGGAAATAAGGTGAACTTTTGAAATGATAACTGTAGTAAGTTCAGTGGAGGCAAAAGTGCTCTTTTGAGCAGTTCAGTGCATTCGTGAAGTGGTGCCCACTTGAAATTCTTTCCTCAGGAAGAGATTAGTACTTCTTCACATCAATAACTTCACTGATGTTTTTGGTATTGTTGACAGTGAAACAGTAAATATTTATCAGTTTGGTGCTTTTGATACTTAAACAAAAAGCCTGAATAATGCAGGAAAGACACACTTAAGTTCTGAGATCTAAGGAGCTTTTAAAGTTGTGGGTTTTTTTGTCCTTGTTCAGGAATTCTGGCCATAGTTTATTCTTGCAGCAGATGATGAACAGCAGAAAGTTAGCAGCTATGGACGTGGTTTGTTTTCTTAAAGCTGCTTGTGTGTGGATACACATGAATGGCATAATAATTTATCTGAGTCAAAAGACAAACCTTTACATGATCTTTGAAGAGGACAAAAAGGAAGGTCATTCTTTCCTTTTCAGCCTTTTTGGTATTTGGATTTGATGTAGGTCCTTCTGTGCAACTCCAAATATTTCTACAGTAAATACAGGACAAAAATAAGCTTATTCAGTAGCTGCACTCAGAACCTTACTGAACTCTTGTTTTGTTTGCTGTACTTGAAGGCTTTGCTGTAGGATTCAATGCACCAGTGTGGTTTATTATGAATACCATAAACAGGAGTGTTGTTTGTACAAATGCAATGTGAAGCTGAGTAACTCACAGTACATTGACATGTCTTCAAGTATGGGTTTCAAGCCATGAAATCATACCAGAGCCAAAAATCTCATTGATATGAGACATGCTGCTAGTAACTTTTTTCAAAACCTGTTTTAAATATTTTCTGTATCTATAAAATTTATTTTTTTCAAAAGTTAGGGATAATTTTCCTAATTTAGAGTAAGAAGAAAATATTTTATGGAAGCCCTTTAGGAAACATGTAATAAATGATCTACTGTGGTGCCTATAATTAAACCTTGAGAAACAGTCTCTTGCTTGTCTGATTCTTCAGTTTTCAATAAATAGTATGGCTAAAGCTTTGTTTACTGTTCTTTCTGGTGGAGGACACTTTTTCAGAAAATACATCAAATTGTTGGAAGTGAAAATTTGGGGGTCACTGGTGTTGGTGAGAAAATGCCTATGGCTAAAATGTATGAATGTTTTATTAGAACCCCTACCAAAAAAAACCTCACAAACTTCTTGTTTCTTCTTATGAAGTAGCTGATGTGAATCCCATCCAACAAATATTCTGATTAAATAAGAAATTTCTGTTGAAATTCCAATACACGGAGTCCCATACAGGTTTATAGATCCTCTGAAAGAGGTACACCTCTGCATTATCTCTTTTCACTACTATTTTAAAGTACAGATACAAAGTCTTTTAAATTCAGAAGCTGTCGAATAAATCAACATATTTTGCTTGCTTAAATACTTTAGAACAAGCTTATGAAAATTAGTTTTTATTTTGGCTAAGCTTGTTTGAGGTTTTTATAATCCCACAGAGCCCTATGGATGAGCCCTGTAGTAAACTTTTGATTTAAAATCTGTTGTTTCCTTTGCAACAGTTTCTCCTGCTATAAAGGCAAGTTTAGAAAAAAAAATTATATTACCCATATAGTAAATGTGTATATTCTTTAAAATTTTGCTTCATGTGGATCTCATCAGCCCAGTATCCAGAAGAGGAGACTCTTTATTTCCTTCTCAGAGAATTCTGAGGGTGAAAGCGTTGGATCTGAGTGAAGAAGACTTGTGTAAGTAAGCAGCAAATCTTGGTTAAACAAGTGTTCAAACTACAAGAAGTGTCACTTTTGCAAGATGAGGCTTAGCAAATAAGGAGAAAGGAAACAGCATCTTTAGCTGGTAACAAAAGAAATAATTTACTGAGTGCTGTCATACTCCCTCGTGAAAACAACAGGAAGGATTTACTAATTTGGCCTGGACTTTGAAGGTGAATTGTGGAACTTGCTTTAAAAAATAGACAACCCATTGAAATCCCATCTGTTTAGAGAATATGTGACTCTTCCCTAGCCTCATAGTTAATTCTGAGAAACCACACTCAAATGCACTCACAGAAACTGATATTTTAGGTCTGACACTTTATATTCTAACACTGAAGCTTTCGAAATTATTTAGGAGCCCAAATTTTTCTTTTCACTTGGTCACATTTACAGTCAAGCAGAGAACATGAAATCTATTTTGAAGCTTGTTACTATTTCTGGTTTGTTCACAGGGAAGTGCAGATTCCTGAGATCTGAAATGCTAGCAGTGAAAAGGGAAGTGGTATGCTGTGTAAACGTTGGTCATTTCAGCCTGTGTGCACAGTTTGAGCTAGAGATTTTTTTACATGGCCTAGGTCAGCCACCAGGACACTGGCTTTTCATGTCTGTGGTGGTATCTTCTGGAGAGAGGGGAAGCATATTGCTTTCGACTGCACCATATTTAAAAAGAAGAACTTTTTCTGCAAAAGGCAGGTTACTAAGGCTGTCATTTGCTTTAATACTTCAAATATTAATTTGGACGACTATGTGCTTTTTCCTGTATGCTCTTCTACGTTATACTATGGTTAGATAACAATGCTTTGGTGTCGAGTTAGTGAGGTCACATTCAGTAACCCAGAGTGATTTTTAGAAGTGTGAAAATATGAAGTATTAAAAATATAACCGACTCCCAAACAAGGCAAAAATAGAGAGAAAAAAATATTTGGTAAGTAGGTTTGATATAATCAAAAGCATCCTCATAGTCATTCCTGAGACAAGTAATATGTCAAAGTAAGTATGCTTTTCAAAATACACCTGCATTTGAAAATTTTAATTCATATTACACTGTTCCTTATTTTTTGTGTGTGTCACTGTTGTGTACAGCTCTGGATATCTTTCAGATGTATAAAACTGCATCATTTAGAACTGTTACACAAAGGAAGGTTACTCACCTCTTAACGGTAAAAGGAAATTACTTTAACAAGATTTTACATCCTTAGGCAAAAACAGAAGAGAGGAGACAGGGATTTATAGGAGAGGAATCTACACATGCCTGTATACCTAAGATTTGTGAACATTTTGATAAGTAATTGAAGGAGTAAATAAGTCAGTGGTTTCTCAATATTGTGTAAATCTTGAGAATGATAGTCTCAAAGACACAATCTTTCCAAATTTTAACTGCCATATTTTCATAAATGTAAATTAAATTGTGACATTAAAATATTAGCAAAATGCCTTCAAGTTTTTTTTTTGTAGTTGTGTTCATTGAAATGATAGAGTGGGTATTGGCCTACTTAACACTTAACTGAAATGTGTGGTGGCTGGACATCCATGGCATGCAATTACAGTGTTTCACATTATTTTCTTCCTTTAGTATCAGTAAAAGCTGGTGCTACCTGTTTTTGAGAGGTAATTATTAAAGGAAGACTTTACAAAGTTCTTATTGGGAACTGAATGGTGCTGTCACCAGAGAAGAGTTTTTATATTTAAGTAAGGAAGTCAGTATTGGTATCTAGACTTTTTTATATGCCTATTTTGTGGGTTCCTTCCTTGAAAAGCAGAACTAAACCCAGTTAATTCATAAGCAAAAGAATCGAACTGAAATCTTTATGATGTGATGAGTGACATCATACTTCTATCAATACATTCATCAACAATAGAAAAGTTTTTAAAACAGATAAAAGGATAATTTTATGCCTGACAGCCTGTTTTTACACAGTGCTTTTACATTGGTATAGCAGGGTTGTATAGACATGTGATTTACTTTTACTGCTATAACTGCACTGTGGTACAACCACATCATTTTTTTATAGGATTAGTAAATCAAGTGTAGCTCATTGTCCTTCTTACCAGTACAGTTACTCCTTTTGAGATGTATTTTCTTGCTTACAGCTGTAGCTGTTTAATTGCTTGCTCAGTAGCAAAGCTGAAGGGCTGCACTCTGGAGAAGTTCCTGCAAAACACTTGCTATTCAAGAAGGATTACTTTGAGGTGTCATTCCTAGTTGCTTCTCATCTGAAGTCATCCACTTCTCTTGAGACATGCTGTGGGGGTACCAATGTATTAGGCATGCTAGGAGGCAATCTGTTGAAACCACTGGCTTTCTTCTAGTAGTGTTGCTGCCTTATACTTCTAAGCTGCATAAATGATGCAATATGGCATTTTACTACTCAAAAATGTATTTCTTTTCCACCTTTTTTCATCCATTGCCTTTTATAATTTTATATTTGATGATATCCTGCTAATTCTAGCATTAATGTTAGGATCATTAGCACGACCTTCTGGCTTTTCTCCTTACTCTCCCTATTTCTAATATTATCTTTTGCAGCTGGTATTTCTGAATCATCTCATATATCAGCTAGTATCACCCTCTTGGTACACAGGCTCATGATCTCGGGCCCTAATTAGTCTACTGCTGTATTTAGAGGCCTTCCCAAACCCTTGCTTCATTTAGCCAAGAGCATTTATATGACCATGTTTCTTTTGTCTTTTCTTCTTGTAGGGCGGGGTGAGCATTGCTTTTTTCACCTGTCACTAGTTATGTCTGAGAAAATTGGTAATAAAACACATAATCTTTCTCTCCTTTCTCAATTTTTCCATTTGTCAGTGGTCCGTTGTGATCTGTGCTTTTGAGATTCTCAATATGACGTTTAGTATCTTCATCTGAACCATTTCCTTCTCTCTAGCATCTCTTACCCTTATCCTTGTGGCAAGGAATCCTTGCCACAGCCCTCTTCTGCACTTCCATTTCTAAAGAGCATACCCCCAACCTCAGCTCTCT